AGCCAGCGGCTCTTTAAACCCCAAGAGGGGTGTGTCTAAGACCCCTGCCGACCCAAAGGGTCCCCCCTTTGTACTATTTTAAGATCTCCAAATTGGCTGACCCGACACTAAAATTTTTCTAAAGGTGCCTTTGGCACCAGTATATACTGAATTTGAGGGTAAGTTCGAGCCAAAAAAAAAAACCGCCAAATTTTTGGTCAACATTTTTTCAAAAGTTGCCAAAACACCTTTTTGTTCTGTTTCTTTTTTGAATTTTTAAAGTTTTTGTAGTGGTTTGTGAGGTCTCTGAAATAAATTTGGTCGACATAAAAAAAGGTCGATAAAATTTTGAATTTTTTTTTTGAAATCAGCTCCACTGTCTCGTCTCCCCCTCGAGAGAATCCAAGATCCGACCCAGGAAAAAGAGCCTAAATTATATGGTATCGACTCGTCTCTGTAAGTAGTTATTTTCAGCTCAACCTTTAAGCAACATAGTTTTTATTTTTTCATGATAATCCAAAACATACTTTTAAACGTACAGGCTTCAATTTACCATGCTTCAATTTTTTAGATTTATGAGCATCACCATTACAAAACTCGCCACAATGTGTTTATACGTTGAATCACACGTGCTTTTTTCTTTTTTATTTATTTCAAATTGATCTCGGTATATTTAATCAAACCGGCCAGCACACATAATTTTGCTAGCATTTAATAACAATATACTGAGCTAGTACCTTTCATATCAAAAACTATCGTTATAGCTGCAGTATAGTACAATAACGCGCTGAAAAAAGCGGAAAAATTAAAAAAAAAACAGTATTTTTTACACCTGCCTTAACAACTACATACTGTTACAAGGCAAATACTTCGATCAAGTATAGGCAGCTTTAGTGTACTTTTTTATCCGAGTTATAAATAGTTGTGGTTAGTAACAAAAGTGGACTATGGCTTCGATGGTGGCTCAAAGAGGTCCCCCTGTGACAGAGACATACCAGTTCAACAGTCAGCCCAGAGCAGCCAAGAATGGGGGTGCAGATCAGTCTCTTTACAGGGACGAGTGAGTATTTTAAGCTTAGATTCCAACCCCGACATTCCAAAACAAACCACTCCCCAGAAATTTTCCCCCCTTTCAAAATAACACAGTCTGGAATGTGGGGAGATAATACAAATGGATCCTCGACAGGATTGTTAAGGCTTACTGATAGCTCCTCTGCGTTCGTAGGAACCACATTATATTTAAAACCCATAGTTTGATGATGCTAAAAAAATACATCAGGCTGGAAAAGGGACCATAAGGAAAAAACAATCGACTATTCTTCACTTTTCTCCCTCATTTCATGAGCTTCAATTTGAAAAAAAAAATTAAGTAGTCGTTGTCATATTTGTAAAATTTAAAATTGACAAATTAAAAAAAAGTTATTCTGATTCCATAATTACTGAAACCATACGTCAAAGTATCATATATTTTGTCATAGAGAAATTTTTTATTGGATAAATATTTTCGTTTGGGAGATCGCAAAACTGTGTATAAGCTTTTCAAAAAACATCAAACTGTTCTCCTCCAAAAGTTACAAGTTTCAAACTGTTTTTGTCATCTTTTTCAAAACTTACCCAACTAACACAGAATCTGTTCCGTTTTTACCACCGCTCCCGTCATATTATAAAATTATAAACTAGCATGTTATAAAGGAAGCCAGAATTTGTTCACTTGAAAATATTTTAGATAAGCTTTCTTAAATTGATTTTCAGATAAAAAAAATCATCCCACGGGCTTTCTTTACAGGCACTTTTTTCACTCCCCGTACATTTGAATTACAGTTTTGAATAACTATTTTTACATTGTCATCATGTAGTGAAACTTTGCACTGTAAACAAACTAACAACTGTGATCAGATTTCTTTTTTTTCATCCTTCCAAGTTTCATTATGATAACACAACGTTTTTTTTTCAAAAATTGAATTTCAAATGAGGGCGATGAGGGAAAGAGGCGACTGCTTGTATTTCAAAGAAAATAACCAAAAAAATTCTACCATACTCAATAGTAATTACGGCTCTTTTTCCTTTCCCCCACCTGCAAATTTTTACATGTAAATTTGTTGACCACATTGTCTAATTGTTATGAAAATTTACATACAGACTAATAAGGCCACGACAAACATATTTGGTCTTCATACTCAACCTCGTAAAGCCACTCGTTACACTAATATATTGAAGCTTGTGTGAGGTGGGGGGGAAAAGGAAATAGAGCCGTAATTACTTTAAAAAACTTAGGTTAACTAAGAAGTTTTGAGCAACAAGATATGATATAAATTGAGTGTAAAGTTTTGTTTCGCATTAGGGATTTTTTTGTCCGCCACATTTTAGTTTAAATTTTCAAAAATTAGATCAAATTTAAAGGAAAGTTGGCTTGGTGATTAAACTAAGAACTGTGAACATAGTTTTGTTTACTAAGGAACATCACGCATGATAACATCACGTATAAAAACAGAAATTTTGGGTTTTTATCTTTTTCCCCCCACCTTTCAAATTCAAGTTTTCAAAAAAATCTAACATCAAAAAAATCAAGGAAAATTGGCATGGTGAAAAAATAATAATTGTGAATAAGTTTTTTCTTCATTCTTTACATCGTAACATCACGCATTTAGCCATAATAGCACAAAAAAAGAAACCACGAAAGAAAGAAATTTGAAAGGTGGAACAAAATTGCTCGCATCATGATGAAGCCCTGAATGTTCCTACTGCCTTTTAACGTCTATTGAGCAGAAATAACATGAAAAAGTTAAAAGTAATAAAAAGAAATTAATTTTTTTTTTTGAAAAATTTGAAGTTTTTTGTGAAAACATCACCCCACACAACATATTAAGTAAAAAGTGAAAGATTTTGCTTCTATTTACAAATCAATTATGGCACATAAGCTTCCTTGAACCAGTTTGGAATAATTTCTAAGATGAGTTAAATCTCGCTTCCGCGTTAATAGCGCGAAATATATTGCGCATTAATTATCCCAAATTGGCCAAAATGACCAAAGTGGCAATCTTTAAACCCCCATAACGTTACAAAAAATGATCAATATTTTCAAATATAAGCTCAGGACAACAATAGCTTTCGAATGATGTAAGAAATTTTGTCAAAATGGCTAGTTAAAAAGTCGAAATTTGTCTGAAAAAAAACCCACACAGAGCACAAATGTTCTGTTACTTTGGTTACGAAAGTCGGAACAATAAGTGGAGTAATTAAAGTGGAGTCATTTTAAATAAACTTTTGGAAAGAGCAACAAGACTGCTCGTATCAGGGCGAAACCCTGAATGTTCCGACTGCCTTTTAAGGTTTATGGAGCAGTAATAATATTTAAAAATTCAATGAAATAAAACAAAATCAAAAAAAAAAATTCAAAAATTTGAAATTTTTTATTAAAATCATCCCCCCACACGCCATACAAAGTACATAACATTAGATTTCGCTCCTTGTAACAAGCCAATTATGGCACATAAGCTTCTTTTAACCAATTTGGAACGATTTCTAAGACGGATTAACTCTCCGCTTACGCGTTAATAGCGCGAAATATATCGCGCGTTAATTGTCCCAAATTGGCCAAAATGGCAATCTTTAAACCCCCGTAACTTTACGAAAAATGATCACAGGTAAAATATCTTTTCAAATTTGAGCTCAGGACAACAATACCTTTCGAATGATGTAAAAAATTTCAGTCAAAAATGGCTAGTTAAAAAGTCGAAATTTGTCTGAAGAAAAAAAAAACCCACCCCGAGCACAAATATTCCGTTACTTTCGTATCGAAAGTCGGAACAATAAATGGAAATGTAAGTGGGGGATAGCCTATAGCAACAACTTTTGATTAAGTAACTGAGCAGTTAAAGTAGGCTCAAAGCGCGTTTAGGATAATGCCTAGCAAAACCGCTTGGAACAATGCTTTTTATGGGCTAGAGCACGATTGTATATCCGTCTTTCAGGTATTGGTTTGAATTAAAGTAAAAACCCCGAGCGTATATAATTCTCATTTTTTGAACAACGGAACGAAAAAATATAAGCCCGTAAGATGTTTTTTTTCTATCCTGAATTCAAGATCAATTTATACCCTTAGTAATTTAATTCTTCGAATATTCCAAATGGACCAATTAATTCGCCTTTGTTCAATTTGGAGTCAATTCAGCTAAGAATAGTTTGTCACACCAAAAATATGTGCACGTAGTAATAAAAAAATGGAAAAAACAATCACATGGTAAACCTCACTTTGGAAACAAAAGTTCTACTTTTTTATTGTAGTGAAATAAATTTCTTTTGAAAACTGTTATTTTGATCGACTACATTGATCTCAAGGAAAAACTACCTTGAGAATAATCATAAAATAACTATTACGTAATCAATTCAAAAACCTAAAATGACCTGCCAATTTAGCTGCTTGGTCGGAACAGTCTAAGCAGCATACAGAGAAAAAGTTTAAATACAGCAAGCTGTTTTTCTTCATTTTAAAGCTTTGTCAACTTCTCATCAAAGTTTTCGTTTTAGTTTTTTTCAAAGAAACCGATACAAAATGTATGTTTAGCTAAGTTGATTTTCTATTCGCAAAATTGTATCTTTTTAACTAACCCTGTATGGCAAAATTTTTTATACCGTTTGATGAAAATGGATGCCTTGAGCTCAAATTCAAAAAGTGTCAGTTCACCCTCACCCCTTGATGATTTTTATAAAAATATATGGTTTTCAAAATTGCCATTTTTGCCATTTGGCATAATTAATTGAACTGTTTGGCACACAATTGGCAGACAAGAAAAAAAATTACCTCCCAAAAAATAGGTCGGAGAAAAATGTTATGTGTTTGTTTTTGTGAGTTTGTTTATGTGTGTTAGTTTTTGTTGCAGTGACCGGACAGAGGCCAAGTATGGCAACATCATGTACGACAGAAGAGTGGTCCGGGGAAACACCTACGCTCAACACACCCTCCCAGTCGTGAGTGCTTTCTTTACAATTTCTTCATAAACTAACCTAAAACTTGGGTTTTTCTTTTTCCCCTATATTTGGACTTCATTAAAATGTTAAAAATACTTTAAAATTGTCACGGAGCATTGAAATTTGGCCAGGTGAACAAACTAGCTGTTTTTAAAAGTTTTTTCTCATGTTGCTCATCAAAGCATCACGTGTTTAGCCATAATTACCCTCGAAACAACTATGAAAATTGTAATTTGAAATGTGTGTGGGAAGGGAATTAGTCGAAAATAACCAGAGCTTGCTTCACATAAAATTTTGAATGTTTTATAAGATAATTTTCAAGACATGAATGTTGTAGAAATTAAGTCGGTGTTTTAATGATTCCCTTGAAAAAATTAAGTAAAAAATTGTGAGATCTGAGAATGGCGAGATGTGTGAACAAACTCTAGATGCGCGCCTGCTGCAATAGTAAAATATGTTGAAATATTTGTTTTCCTCATGTAGACTGCACAACCCGACCCCATAGAAATCCAGCGGCAGCAGGAGGCGAGGAGACGCACCATCGCCCGCAAGAGGGCCAAGGACCAGCTGAAGCCACGCTCGCCCGAGCCAGTGGAGGGCCGCAAACACATCAACGTCCAGACCGAACTATATCTGGAGGAGCTAAGTGACAGAGTACGTTAGATTTAAAATTTTAATGCATACAACTGGACGTTGTTTTGATAGAAAAAAAAAATCACTTTCTTCTCAGAAAAAGATTTTTTTTTTTTGGAAAAAACATTAAGAGTGTGGATATTCGACGATTCATTTCGACTAAGCCAGTTATTCAGACATGCATTTGTTTGTTCTTGTTTTTTTTTGCTATTTCTAATCATGGTTCATCTAAAAAATTGTTTGATCACCATTTTTCATCACAGAAAGGATGAAAAATTAAAATGTTTATCTTTTTTTTTATTCGATTCACTTTTAGTTTTTCTTGGTGTTGATTTGTTCACTGTTCTGTGTGTAGGTGGAAGAGAGTGACATTGCGGTGCAGACTGATGCATTCCTGGACAGACCCCCCACTCCCCTCTTCATTCCCGCCAAGACAGGCATGGATGTGGAGACACAAATCGAAGAGGGAGACGTGAGTTATTTTTGTAACATAATACAACTGAAGAAAGTCCAATACCTCAATAAAATTATGACTTTTTTCGACACACCCCATTCCCTTCCCAGCTCCTTTCAAAGCTTTTTCACATTTGTCATATCTGCTGAACAAACGCCCCAAAAAAGTGAACTCCCCCCACCCCACACGGAAAAAGTTGAGGCCACATCCCACCTATCCTCCGAGGATAAACATGATGCTCTTTAAATCGCCCTTTTTTGTTTCATGGGTTTTGTTGCGTGTAGTTGTTTGACTTTGACGTGGAAGTGGGTCCAATTCTGGAAGTGTTGGTTGGGAAGACACTGGAGCAGAGTCTTCTGGAGGTGATGGAGGAGGAGGAGTTGGCCAATCTGAGACAGCAACAAAGGTCATTCGAACAACTCAGAAATGCCGAACTAGTCGAACAACAGAGGCTGGAGGAACAGGAGAGGAGACACAGCGAGGAGAAGGTATGCTTGAACACGCGCAAACAGCACAAAATGTTCCGAGCGTATGTTACCAACTTGTGATAAGGAAAACAAAACATATTTTCAGACATTTACCATAAGTTTACGCGTAGGGATAATTAATAATGGGCGAGTTTCGTTAAAATAATCATTTTTTTTTTGAAATTGTACGTAAAAATCAAGCCGTCATATACAGTATAGATCCCTCAGCCAAGTAACAAAAAATATAACACCCCCTTTTCTCGCTTCCAAACTATAATTTCAAATATTTATGCTGCGATTAAAGATTTGAAGAATTAGAAAATGGCGAATATATTCCACATCACAAAATCAAAAGCTTGGTTCATTCCGGCGTGGGTCTTTTTCCAGAGTCAGCCTTTAGTTTTATTTTGAGATGACTGGGTATGAGAACTTCGTATCGTTTCAGCTGCGTAGATTGAACCAGCAGCGAGAGGTGTTGAACAAGGAGAAAGAGACGGCTGACAAATTAGCCGCTAGAGCATTCGCCCAGAGCTACCTTTCAGACCTCATTCCATCTGTCTTCGGCAACCTCACTGACCATGGCTTCTTCTATGACCCAGTGGAGAGAGATGTGGATGAGTCATTCATTCCATGGCTCATGGACCGAGTAGTGGACAAGTTGGAGTCACTAATCATCGGAAGAACGGTCATGGACGGTGAGTCATTCTCACCCTTTTCCTGAAGCATGGTTGCCGTGCAATTATCTTGCAAGTATGGCTTTCTTGCAAAATACTTGTAAAAACCCTTTTTAAGGAGGTTATGTTTGAGTTTATAATATACCGCAAAAATATGTTTGCAAGATCTTGTAAGATCAAAATATTAGCTGTAAGGCTGACGGTTTTTTGGCGTCTCGGTCTACTTTTTGGTATTCTTTCGAAAAATCTAGAAAAACCAACATCTTGGAAATTGCTAGATAATATCTCAAAGCCTCAGTTTTACCGCAGATGAGCTTCAACTTATTGAAAATACCGCGGATGAACTTCACTTCACTGCCCATTCACTTAATTGTTGTAGCTAAAATAAAAAGATGAATTTTCAAAAAATTTAGGATTTTTATTTATCGAATCTTTTTGGCTTTTGTGATTTTTTTTGCATCTGGTAAAAGGCGCAATTAATTTTAGTTCGGTCGCACCAATCGCGGTTTACTTTCTCTTGGACACATTGCCTCGGTCTGCAAAGTCTGGAAACAACAAATTTTGGTCGCGGTGGTCTGAAAATATCCAATTTTGATTATGGCAACCTGGAAATGCTACCACTTGGCCAAAATCAGACTCCACAAAATTGCTAATTTTTTTTATCTTCTTTGCTATTTTGAACTCACAAACAAATAGCTAAAACACTGTACCGCTCAAAAGCTTGAAAATGCTCCAAAAAAGGGGGATTTTCTGGAATCCGCAATAGCATTTACAAGTCCGGAACAGTTTGTGGAATCCACAAACAAATAATAAAATTTAGGCATAAACACATGAACCCACTATAATCCCAAATAATGACCTAATTCGGTGATTGTGTTTCCCAAATCATCAATCCAATGTTTTCAGATTAACCAATTATTCAGATTTGTTCCTGGATTTAGCTGACAATGGTTAGGTCTTTGGTCTTAAATTCCGCATTGCTAGATAACAAATCAAAGTTCTAATTGTTAACCTTTGGTTTGCAGCAGTAATAAGCAAAATTGCTGAGTCCACTTACAATTTGCGGAATCCGCGTACATTTGCGGATTCCATTAACATTTTTTGGACAAAACAAATGTGCCGACAAAATTTATGTTACAGGCGTTTGTACGCGCAATCCAAGAGAATTTTGTGAGTGGAATCCACTTGTGTTTTGGAACAATTTTAAAGATTTGTCTCTGGAATCAAGGAAAATACATACTTAAAATTTTGTGCCAATCGAGTGCATAGTTTAGCCTCGTAATGAAAGCAAAATTTTCGTCAAAAAGTAGTCGTTTATAAAAAGTCAATATATGCCAGTTAAAGTCGATCACAAATAATTCGTCGCTTTCTTCCCAATTCGTGACACTAATTTTAGACGCGATGATTATTTTGTTGTTCTAGGAATTATCCGGGAAGTCGTGAGCAAGAGGGAAGCTTCCTTCGTGGCGCTAAGTAGACAACAGACAGGAATCAAACTGGTACATACCTTGCTATTTATATTAACTTTAAATACTACGGATTTAATGGACAGAAATTCAACACAGGGGCAGGTTTAGGGGAAAATTTTACAAAATAACCTTTAAAAGGTCGACAAAATATATGAAAATTTTTGAAACTCTGCCCCTCGTCGTGAAAATTGTAGATCGCCCCTGATTCAGCAAGTCAAATTGAGTGGGATTGCCCGAAATAAACTGATTTGAAGCAGTGATTAGGTTCTTTTTTGAATTCCTTGATTTTTTACATGTGTTCGGTTAACTAAATTAACTTAATAATCATGGAATAAATGTCTTTTTAGTTCATCGAGTGTCTTTTTTCATCCTGAATTATTTTGTTTTTTATTATTTCCTTTTGATTTGTGATCTCCATTTTTGTTTCATTTTTTTCTTTTTGTTGAGTTTCTTTCGTTTGCGCGCCAATTAGGTCCGCCTTTCTGACATCGAGAAAGCACGCGACAGAGTAAGTTCATCATAATCATAGACTCAAAGGAGGATCTTGTTGACTACCCCACCCCCCTATTGCAAAACGGGAAAATTAATTACAAGGTACGAAATTGTCATGCGCCTAACCGTTAACTTAGTCATGTCCCGTGTTGACCTTCGTACACAAGAAATGCTTGCGATAGAATTACATACAAAAAAATGCTCATTTCACAATTTCATACACGGAGTGGAGTGTATGGATAAAAATTAATCATACAGTTCTCGGGTACATCGACGGAGATGGATATTTTTTGCCATAATTTTTAGTCAACAAGATCCTCAAAAAGTGCAAGAAGACTACCCGAATTGTTAATTCATTTTTAGTCGGGTACGATACAATCAAAACTGCTGCATCTGTATAGTTTTACTTTTATAGAACTTTCCAGTTATTCTGCTACTTGTTCTACCATCATCTTAAATGGAAAATATGACATAATTTTTGGCATAGATAAAGTGATCTAGCCAAAAACAAGTCCGTTTGAGATTTGTGGATTCATTTTTTTTCAAACTTTTTTTCCAGCGCAATTTTAGTTCAAATTCAAGAAAAAGATGGATAAATATAGCTTGGTCTATGTACTGGAGGGAAGGGGGGATGGTGAGGGGATATTAACTTGATCCTTGAACCCAAGCAACCGATGATTTTTGAAAGGAAATCTTTTGTACTTCCTGCAAACTTAGAAGGGCGGCTTATGCTACAATAATAGTACCCTTCAAAATAGATAGATTAGTTCCTTCCTCGTGTGCATGCTTACTGTTTCCTTTTAGTATCTTTTTGACATTTGATACTCTTAATGGTGGATTTCACGTCATTTCATCGGAATAAGTCTCTTGTTTCTGTCTCCGATTTTGTAAACGCTAATTAGGCGTGGGTTTTTACTGTCAAGATTAATTCAAATTTTGATGATTTTTTACAAAACTTCCCCGTAAAAGAAAAGATTTTCGAGATAACAGATTTGATTTTCAAGAAAAACCTCTATGTAGAAATAACTTCATACGTGTTGCCTCTCCAACTATAACAATTTTTTTAAAAAAATAGGTAGTTTTAAAATAAGGTAAATTGTGAAAACTGTAAATACGCCCCAATTACGTGTTATGAAGCAGAGTTGCTAAGAAAATTGCAAAAACCCTATTAAAAAAATCGAGAAAAAAATCTTTTTAAGTTAATTTTTTTTCGGATTTTTTCCTATGTAAAGGTTGATTGAATCATGCTTAATCTGCAAGAATGAGCTGTAGTTACATCTAAATAAACATGAAAAATTACATCACAAACTAGGCATCATCAAAATCAGTGTAATCAATTTGATTTGAAAATCAAAAAATATCAGAACAATTTTGGAAGTGGTGGGAAAAAAATTGATGATGAATGAGTTTTCTCAACTCTAATCGGACTAATTTTTGCAGACGTTTATATGTACACCGCTTCAAACTGAGTTTTTTTTTCTAACCGAATTGAGTTCTAAGAAAAGGTAAGTTTATAAGGTTCATAGTGTTTCGCTACTGCATGTTCGTTATATAGCTGAAAATCAAAAGACCCTGTGTTGTCGGAATGCTAATATTGAAAGAAAATTGTTTTGCTTTTTTATTGCAAGACATGCCTTAGATTTCCAAGAAAAAAGCAAGAAAATTAAACTAAAATAAAAAATTCAATGTTGTTTTATAACGTTTCGATGCAATTTAGGAATCGGAGCCGAATGTTGCTGTCGCAGTGCCGGAGCCTGCGCCCTCCAGTGCAGCCGGCATGTCTGTGTCCGGAGCGGAGGGAGGCGAGACGGGGGCGGATGAAACTTCAACTGTGGACGAGGGGGCGGCCCAGAATGCGACAAACAACGACGAAGAAGATCCGAGTACTGAACAGGCGGCCGACGATGACGTCACGAAAGCCGATGATGAAGAGGTAGAAACTCACATTAAGCTTCCTAATATGTAAAAACGTTTCAATGACAATGCTCTCTAAAATACTAACAAGACTGATCGTATCAGGGCGAATCCCTCAATATTCCGACTGCCTTTGTTCCAGGAGCAAAAATCGTTTTTAAAAGAACTATGAAAAGTTTATTTTTCAAAAAAAAACATGAAAAATTTATTTAAAAAATGAAGACGGCAAATTATTAAATAGACCAAATAGCATGCCCCACTTCAATTAAGAAAAATTTCTAAGAGGGAACAAAATTGCTGGTATATCCCAACCATGCTAGATGTTCCGATTCTTCTTTAAGAACAATTTTAAAAGATTTAGATTGAAAAATTTTCTTTCGTTTTTTTTTCTTCATTCCAACCCCTTACACGCTAATACGGGGTGTATTAGGCGTCCTGTATCCTAATACTAGGACAAATTGAAATGTCTCAATTCAATTTGAAACGCATAAGTTTGCTTACGCATGTCATAAAAAACACAACTTTTATCCCATATTGGCCAAATTAACAATTTTTAAACCCCGTAAATTTAGAGAAAAAATCATCACAGGTAAACTTTTTTTTAATTTGAGCCCCGGACAACAAAATCTTTCAGATAGTATGGAAAATTCTGTCAAAAACGCTAAGTTAAATAACCTAAAACTGACCGAATAAAAAATCACCCCAAGCATAAGTATTCCTCATTTTCTTTGAAAGTCGAAACAATAATGCCCATATGGCATCACTTATTACGATCTTTTAAGAATTTGTAAAAGATTTTTTTTTGTTTGTGTTCAAAAGTGCCATTTGGTTGTTTCAGGGTAAAGATGACGAATGATCCCTCCAATCAAAATGAATTGCCCAATGAGAACCTGCTCTACAAATCCGAAACTGTCTCTTAGCTTCAAAAGATTTTAAATTTTAAATTTGTAAAAGAATTCAAACCGTGCATATATTTGTTGCATTTTGAAAATTCTACCGCTTTTTGAATGCAAAATTTGACCAACTATGCGAAGTCAGATTGAAATGAGAGTAGAAATAAATGGGAAGAAAAAGTTACGAATATTCTTCCCCTTTTTGCTCAGAACCGGACTTGCTGTCCGCACATGCAAGCTTTGCTTTTTTTCAAAAAAAACTATTTTTCTTGAGTCATATCAAGTTTTCACGATTTGCTGAAACTTTTTAAGATATTAAACATACTTATGGTTAAAATAATATTTAAAATTATTTGGAAAAACTAGACCAAGAGAGTGGAGTGCATTTGTTTGTCGCCCTTCCTCAAAAACAGTCTTCATCTTTCAAAAGTCAATGAACGAATATAAAAAACGTTTTCGTTTCGAATAGAAAGGTTATATGAAAAGTTAAAGACCCGACTTTCTTATAATGTGTTATACTCATCGACAAGAAGACAATCTAAAGATACGCACTAAATTGCACTTTGTAGTTTTGAAAAAGCTTCAAAAATGTTCCGTCTGTTTGTTTTTAAATTCTTGGGTTACTTGAAACTTTTCCGAATCTTTTTTTAGCTATTATTCGATATGCAATGGTTTTGCAAAGCACAAACTTAGCCTTGCCAAACATTACAATTTGAAATGACCTCTTCAAGTGTCCTAAAAATGATGTTAAAAAACAGTTTTTTTTGTTAAACTCTAATAGAAGCTCTGGAGAGAATTGCAGTGTTTCCTTTTTTCGATGACATCTTTTATGAGAAATGATGAATTTAGTGAAGATTGTTATGTAGGTCTTGGTATTTTGTTTGTCAAAATTTTGTTCATGCGGTATGACTTTTGATTTTTTTTCACATTCACTTTATTTCCTTTGTTGAAAGGAAGGCTAACTGCAGTGTCGAGCAGCAAAAGTACTAAAATCCCAGAATTCATGATCGAATTCTAGTTTCGAAATAGGATTTCACTTTTCAGGTTGAAAAATTTACAGTGGAATGAAAAATTTACTTTTTGATCCATTTTTCTCAAATGGGGTAATTTTGATCAACAAAGTGTCAATCATAGTCTGTTTTTGAAAGTGGGAGAGATTCAAAACCATATATTTGGTATTCAGAATTTCGAAAATTGAAGTTTTTCCCAAAAAACGACGGTTTTTTATTTTTTGTCCGTTTCTTGACTCTTTTTCAGTTTTCTGTTTGCAAAGATCATTAGTTATTGTATTTCGACGCTTTGATTGTCCATTTCAACCAAAAGAGAGAAGGAAAAATGCAATGATGAGAAGCGCTATTTTGTGGAATTATACATCAGTAACTGTAGAATTCTAAACACAAAAAAAGCAGTGACAACGGCAAAAATTTTTGAGGCAAAAAATCCTTTAAGAAGAAACAAAAGAAATATTTAAAAATAAAAATGAACCATCTGCCGGAATGGAACCAACGAGCTGTAGCTTATGGGATTGAATGGTTCTGTTTTCTCCGCCATATGGGCTCGCATTTTGTAAACACTAGCCAGCATCAATATCTGCAATGAGTTAAATTAGAAAAAAAATCGATCCGTAGTGCAATTTTTACACTCAATACTAAATGAGTACCTGCTCGAAACTAACTCTAAAAAGCGAAATTTTCGAATTGATTTTATATAAATTTCATTTTTTGACGTACATAGCCCAATTCATTGTAACGTTTTATACATTGCTATCTTTTACTTTGAGCAAAGTAAGCAGAGAAACTTATGAATACGATAAATGAGTGACAAAAAGTGACAACTTTGCGCAAAAGTAGCTCTGATAATTTTTTTGTGATCATGATTCAATTATTTTCGAGAAAAGGATAATTTTAGTTGATGGTTTTATTAAACTCTGAAAAACAATTCACCTCGTGTAGTAGCAAATTTAGATAGGAGGGACACGTCGGTTGTCTCTATTTTTTAGAAATTCGAATATCTGTGCCTCCAAACAGTCCTTTTTTTAAGATCTCGAATTATGGCTGACCGACCCTGAAAACATATCGAAAAATTTTTCGAAGTTTTTTGAACTCCCCGTTCCTCGAGTAAATCATGGATCTGACCTTAGTTATAAGCTCAAGCAAGGAAATGGTCATGCATTCATAAGCAACAAAAACTATTATAGTTTCGACCAGAAATTTTCTGATTAACACAGCGACCGAAAACTCTATATTTTCGATATATCAAATCAATGAAAACATTTATCCGAGAAAATTTTTCCATCAATTTTCTCCGTGCACTACCCTTGACAAAAACTCATTATTACCTATTAATTACTGTAGAAACCCTAAACACAAGGTTGAACACAGAGACGAAGCTGTGTTTTGCAAGACAACGGCTAAAATAGCTCCAAAATATGTTAAACTCATTTAGGAATAAGCAAAAAAGTAAGGTTTCCAAATATGAAAGAAAGTGCTCTCTGCTGAAATGAAACACTCAAATTGTAATTTACGAGCATGAAAGGTCCTTTTTTATTCGCCATATGCTCTTGTCTTAAGTAAACAATAGCGACCATCGACGCGTATCGAACATACAATTCTAAATTGCTAATGCTAATCATTATCAGATTTATCTTTAGCGAGTTGAGTTAGAAAAGGTCGACTTGTAGTAAAAACAATTCCCCTTACCTGCTTGTAAACAAACTAGAAAATGAAAATTAAGAAAAAAAAATTCTTTTTTGCTCAAAAACTAAAAATTTTGAACAGATTTAGTATTTTTTGTTTTGTTTCAGTTTTTTTTTCGGTGGCTCGAATCACAAAATTAAAATTAAAAATGTACAGCAATCGACTCAATACTCCAGAGTTCGTGCACCAGGGTTCAAAAAAGTTTCACTACAAGGCCAAACTGTGCATTCTGTGCATTGTAAACGGATTCCGCAACAGGCCAAAGTCAGGTTTGTCGCGTAATCCGCATCATTGCTTCTTTTCTTTGATCTTCGTTGCTGTTTTGGATTCCGCAAACAAAAACCTATAACAATGTACCGCTCAAAATCGCTCCAAAAATAGGCAAATATGCGAAATCCAGAACAGTTTGTGGAATCTGAAATATACGACATGTGTATAGTCACATTGAGCTGTTGTGGAATCCGCTAATTGCAAGTGGAATCCGCAAATTGTAAGTGGAATTCGCGAATTGTGAGCGGAATCCGCATTTTGTTTGCGGATTCCACTTACTTTTGCGGATTCCACTTACATTTTGCGAAGTTCACTTACAGCTGCGGAATCCAGAACAACAAGATATATTTGCTTGTTGCGGAATCCGCAACAAAACAAATGTGCCGACAAGATTTACGTTACAGGTATTTGTACGCGGAATCCACGAAAATTTGGTAAGTTGAATCCTCTTACATTTTGGAACATGTTTAAAGGTTTTTCTCTGGAATCCAGGACCCTACAGACATAAAACTGTGCCTATCCATAACTGGGCCTATCCATTGCACATTTTGGCCTCGTAATGTTTAGAGAAAGCAAAACTTTTGAATATATTTTCCATTTTTTGTTTTGTTTTGTTTCAGTTTTTTACGTAACTCGAATCACAAAATTAAACTTAAAAGTGTACCGCAATCGACTCAAAACGACATATTTTTAGAGAACTTTTTAGGTGTTGACTCGGATTTTCTCAGGGTGGCGGGGAGGGGCGGAAGATTTGCAAGAATTTTCAAAAAATATCTTGCGGCGGAGGAAATTCTTGATCAAAATAAGTTCTTTATAGTGATTAAGGAGAAGTCAGAAATTTTTCTAAGCTTTCCTTAACCACTATAAAGAACTTATTTTGACCAAAAGTTTCCTCCGCCGCAAGCAATTTTTTGAAAAAACAGACAAAAAAAACGTTTTTATGCCTAACTCGGACTTATTTGAGCAATGAATCGCGTTTTCTGGCATAGCAGGGTCCCCCCGCAAATATAAATATAAAATGGCCTTGTAGACGCATTTAGAAAAAATGGTCGGTTAGCGAATAGTACATAAGGGCATAGTTTCGATCAGAAATCTGTGGTTAACACGACGACCGACAAGTCTATATTTTGGTGAAATCAGATCAAATAAACATTTCTTCCCTGAATTTTTCCCATCGTTTTTCTCCTTGCACCAGGGTTCAAAAAAACATAAGAAAAAATTTCAAAGCAAATTTTTCCTTAAAAACCGAATCAGTCTTACTCATTTCCATCATCCAGAAAGGTTAAGAATTTTGATTTAAATGCTCTAATTATGGTATTTATAGCGTACATCCAACAAAATGGCTAGATGATCTTTTATGTTTGATTTTGAAAGCTGGAAAAAGGAAGCGACGAATTAGCCTTTCCGATGGAATTAGATGGTGCTGATAATTGTCAACATTCGGCTTCAAGTGAACCCATGCAGCGAGTTTAAATTATCGCCATTTTGTAGCATCCAATTTAAGATATCTGTTTCTGCAGAACAAAAGAAAGCGGCACCGCTTTGAATTTGATTAGAAATAGCCATTCGCTCCAAAATGAAAAAGATTGATTAAAAATTTTAAAAGGACCGATTGAAATTGGAACATAAAAGAATGGATTCTAGATGCAATTGTTTCATGCTGGCAAAGAAAATTCTCAGACATTGAGTTCATTTTGGTCCTGAAGCGAAAATCAAGTCAAGGACATTAAAAAAAACTGCAAAAAAACAGGAGCTTTTGGAAATAATACTTCTCGACGCTGTAATCTTTTCAATGTGAAAACTTTCTCAAAATAGCCAAAACTTTGTAGATTTTTCTGTAAATTTCTGGGGGTTTGAAAGTTTCCAAATTGGTCATGTTCTGGACTAAATTATGCGCGACTTGAAGAATTTATTCATATTGCTGAGAGTGTAACGCGAATTATTTATGCGTGGCGAAATATCCCGCACAACAAAATCGTTCCGAATTGAATTGAGGCTAGCTAATTGGTCGGAGTAATTTCGTACGACTCAAATTTTCTGCTTTTATTTTGTTCACAAGTTTACAGGTTTTCAAAACTTTCTTTTCCGAAAAACTATTTGATATGAATTAAGGGACAGTCGGAACATTCAGAGCTTTGCCCTTGTTGCAACGCATATAAATACAAGAGTATAAATGCATAAGAAGAAGAACAGTTGGCCGAGCGGCCCAAGCTAATCTTCAGTACTG